CCACCCCCGCCACCACCACCACCACCACCACCACCACCACCACCACCACTAGGGGTGTTCATCGGCAGGGTCGGGCCTGAGTAGTGTAAGCCCAAATCCTTACCCAAGTGAGTTATCGTGTGCGGGCCGGACTTCGGGTATGAGTAGGCTACCCGTAACCCAACCCGTGAGCCTATTGGGCGGGCCTCTGGGCAGGCTTGTTGGGCGGACCTGTTTGCGGGATTTTTTATATACATTTTTATTTAAAAATAATGAATATTTTTGTAACTTAATATTTCTGTAAATTATATTTTTGAATCAAAAGTAAAGTTAAAATGGATAAAAATAAAATAATAAATTATATCTAATAGAATGAATAAATCTCAACTAGGTTGACACCTACTAACTTATTTGTCATTTGTATTACTCTACCATTTAAAACTTATATGTTTAATACATGGAAAATAATACATTATTTATAATATCTAACTTTTTAAAACTTTAAATTTCGATATTGAGAGACGTATTTCAAAATTTCAAATTTAATGGTCTTAAAAATATAGCTTTTAAGGATATTGGGCCGGGTAATGGGTTTGAGGGCAAACTCAAGCCCTCTTTTTAAGGATATTGGCCTCAGGCTCAGGCTCAGGCTCGGGCGGGTCAATTATCGAGCCAATCGAGATTCGGACTTATTTTTTTCGGGCCGAATAACGGGACAGTAGGTAACCCGGCCCATGGACACCCCTAACCACCACCACCACTCACCACTTATGTAGGAAAAAAGGAAGATGAAGCAGGAGAGATAAAGCAAGAAAAAGGGAGAAAAACATATATTAGAAGAAGATGATGATGGAGAAAGGGGATTTGGGCTGTTGGGAAAGGGAACATCAGAGCTTAGCACTAAAATCATCGATGCCTCTGAGAGTGAAACCTTGTCGTCCTAGCACAAAAAAAATCCTTTGCTTACTCGTCCAGGAATTATCATTTGTCGAGCATGAATACAAATATGTGATACGAATAACCTAAATGTTTAATCATCCCCATGTAGATCAATAATCGTAAGACAGTTTAGTATACGTAATTATCGTTATTACAAGTGATAGAAGTACGAAAGTACACAGTGGAATAACAAATGTAGTTAAACAAGTTCGTTTCCGAACAAAAGGAGAGAAGAACATGAAAGATATTGTGTTTCTTGAGAGCATATCATCTATACAATTAAGGATTTATTCAAATGCTTTGTGCGTAGGGATTATGAGACATTGTTGTAAACTAAAAAAATAAACTAGTTTTTTTTGGAGGAAAACAATTGTAAGAATTGCAATCACAACGGATATGAACCCCCTATTTTTATGTATTCTCTAATCACAATAGAACTGTTGCGCTTGTTGCAAATTCATATCATGTGAACTTGATTTTCATGTTTGTTTTTCACTTTGTCAATATTTAGACATGTTTACGTATCATTCTAGATTTGCATTTGTACAACAAAAATGTGCAAAAACGGATAGTATTACAAAATATGGGTGGGAGTAATACTCGGTGGGATACTTGATCAAACTTCAATAGGGTGGGTTACGCTTAGAGCTTGGGGATTAAGAAGACACCCATTGGCCCAAAAAGACAATTACTAACAATTCAAACACCATATCTGTGCCTTCCCTAGCCATACAACATATCATGAACAAATTTAGCATTTTGATCCGACATGTAATCTACTCTCTTTCCTGATCTTCCCACGAGAGAAAAATCAAATTCCTAAATTAAAAGTTCGTTCATGGAAAACCAGATTAGAGGCAATGTGAATTACTGCTTTATTATCAAAGAATGTTCTCATAGCATGAGACACCTCAACTCCAAGCTGTTGAGTAGCATTGAAATATCAGACACCGGGAGAGACAATACTTGCTTCGGAATGCAAAAAAGCCTTAATATACCCATTCAATTTTACAGTTAGAATTGTTTTGTAAATTTTCATTGAGAGTAATACACAAATAATTATAACACTAGCACACTGTTAGATGTTTACTTCACACCATCATTTTTCCAAGCCCTAAATTGTTTTAATTTTCGAAACTTCCTGGAAAAAAGATATATTCAAGACAAGAAACCTAAATATATCAAGTATATACAAAGACTCTCTCCATTTTGTCTTAGTTTTGCAAACTTCCCATAAAAAAGACATATCAAAGAAAAGAAACATTAGTAGATCTACTATATATGAAATCTGTGACCATTTCTCCAATGGCCGAATGCTGCTTATTTTCACAGAGTCTGTCTTTGTGTTGAAGGAAGTTCTTCAGTCCAGCTTCACAGAAGAGAACAAGTACTGCACAAACCAAAATGAAGAAAGGAACCCAACTGTGCCTGTTGCAAGCACACATGAAAAGCGAATATAGCAAGTAAAGAGTGACGGGGACAACTCCACTCAAACTCTTTAGATCAAAAACGAGATAGTTTATGGAGTAAAGGAAAACGAATATGGCAACTGAACCAGAAGCAAAGAAAGATTTCCACCACCAATTCCAGTCCTCCATGTAGAGATGTCTGTATGTTAGAACTATAGACACTTCAGCACAAACCACTACAAGAAGGGTCAAAACAATGAAAAGGAACCCAAAAACAGAGTATACACGGCCCAACCAAATACTGGACATGATGAAGAAGAGCTCGGTGAAAAGCGTACCAATTGGAAGAATCCCAGCCCAAAGAACTTGAAGCCAAGAAGGGTATCTGAGAGCTGGGATTTCTAGAAGAACCTGATTGGTTCTAACTGGGTATTGAATATGAGGTGCCCTTGCCCCAAGGTAACCGCCAAAAAGGGTAAGGGGGAGCGAGATACAGAACCACAACAAAATGAGAGTCACAAAGAGAGAAAAAGGGATGGCTCCTGTGCTGTGACTATTCCACAATAAGAAGTTCAACGTCGTTAGAATCAAAAAACCAATACCAGGAAAGAAACAAGCAACCCACAAAGAGACTGAAACCCATCCTTTGTGATCACCACAAGAGATTGTCTTCCACAGACGAACAGCAACAAAACCAGCCGCAATTCCAAGAATCAGGTAGAAAGACAGCATACCTGTAACCAGAGTTCCTTGAGAAGTCAGGGACAAGAACCCGAGAGCAGCAAACAAAGTCGTCACTACTGCCATCCCTAGAATCTGAACCCCATCTCCCACCATAACACATAAAAGTGAAGGGTTGTTTGGAGGACGGAAAACATCTCCCACAACAAGTTTCCACCCTGATAACTCCTTATTCATCTGGGCTTGAGCTTCTGTGTTCGGCTCTTCATAACGAACTGTCCTCAAGAAGATGACAACAATAATACCAGCCAAGAAAGTGATCACCATAAGGGAATTGAGAATTGAGAACCAAAGGACTTTCACTCCCTCCATCTTCAAATAGGCATCCCATCTTGATGGCCACTTGATGTCACTCTCCACAAACGAAAACTCATATGTAAATGCCAGAGGCTCATTCTCCTTAATAGCCATGGCCACAGTGTTGGGATCACACTTGATCACAGACGGACTTGCACCATACATTTTCAAATTCTGCAGTGACTCAGCATTGTGTTGGATACTACAAGGGACCACCTCAAACCCAACAATCATGTATTTAGGCTTCTCTGATCCCGACTTCCCAACCGTAGGGATCACCTCGGCCCTATCCCCAGTACCAATCACACGAGCCACATTGGTCTCCTCATACTTATGAACAAGAACTGTAAATTTCAAGTGATTAATCACATAATACACATCTTGAACCTTAATTCCCACAGGATAACCTGTCCACCGCAAGGAAAAACCCTCCCTCCTAATATACCAAGTGGCGGGTAAATTATCAAGAATCAAATTAACCTGATACATCTCATCAATCCTCTTCTTCAAAAGCTTAACTTCATCACCCAACAATGGCTTGGTTTGACAGAGAAAGATCTTTGTCTCATTGGTGTACATCTTAAATCTGTACGGATAATTCTTAATCTTATCACCCATAAGGAGCTCACCAAGAAGGTTCATGGCACTGTCATTCACACCCTCTTGGGGCATGCAAAAGGGTAAGCTATAGTAGCTAAAGGGAATTTCAGTAACAAATGAAGTAAATGAATTCATTTTCACATACAAGAAATCCCCAACAACAAATTTGTGCGGGTAATTACCCGGAAGGTAAAACCCAGACCCCAATTGATATATCAAGCAGATAGACAAGACCCAGATCTTGACTTTATCAAATAAGTCAATTTGGATCATTTGCTTGGATATTTTGTACCGCGTCTGGAAGACCAGATCAGAAAATCGGTGTCAAAGCAAGATCGGAACAGTTTCAATCTGGGTTTTGAGTTCAAGCAAAGATCGAAGGATGAAACCTAAATAATTTCCAAGGATTTGTGAGGGTAATATCAGATCAGATTATAAAGTCTAAACAATATGAAACAATAATCAAGATAAAACGAAAGAAACAGAAAATTGAAAAGGGTTTGCGTGAAGATATAATAGCAAAGTGCAGATCTAACTGATCTTCAGAGAGATTAATTCGTACACAACCGATAGAAGAGTTGCGGTGAAGATGAGAATTGCGCAGAAATACAGATTATGCTTCGTTGAGCTCCGTGAATGCAGATAGACGGAGAGAGAATGATTGTTGGTCCAATTGTATACGGTTTCATCCGAGGTTTATTGAACCAACCCTTTTGCTTTCGCTCTCTAGAATTGGTTATCTCGCTAAAACTTCGAGTGTCTGAGAGAATATTGAGAGGATATCTGGTTGATATGCTCGGGTATTCGAGAATGAAATGGAGGGGATGGTTGCCCGCCATGGCACCGTGACAAACCGATAATCGCAAAGCGCTTGAAGATAGAGAAAGGTCCAATTATTCTTTCCTCGGTATCTCCGAAGCCCTTTCCTCTTCAGTATCTCCGAAATCCTATTGTTTCTCTGAAAAGCTTCAACGAACAGAGACCGTCCTTATACGCAGGAGATTCTCTGAATAGGGGCGGCAAAAATTTTTTTGGCCTGGGTACAAACTATTCCCAGAACGAGTAATCAGGCGAGTCGGGTCAGGTTCCGGTAAGAATATGCTATCCGTAGTTTTATCCGTCACTTGTTGAGCGGGTCTATTGGATGGCCCTGTGGCAGGCCTTGCGGATGGAGCTTTTGGGCGGGCTATTGGGCCATCTAACTTTTTTCCATCTAACTTCCAAAGTTTAAAATTGAAAAAATTGGAATAAGGTATACCAAATTGAAATTAATTATAAAAAGTTACAAAAAAAAAAAATGTAGACTAAAAAAATCTTTAAATTTGATATTTATTTGTGTCCAAGTACATTATTTGAAATTGAAATTTTCAGATTTTTTTGTGTCATTTTTGGCCTCCTTTGATCCATGCGTAATTTTTTTGAAAAGTGGTGCATTAAACATTTCGGTTTTATGATAGAACTTTATTTCATATTTGTATGTCCTCCCTAGATTCATGCGTATTTTTTTTAGAAAGTGGTTTTATTCTCAATTTATATTTAATGCACCTTGATTCATACGTATTTTTTTTTTTTTTGAAAAGTGATTTTGTTTTTAAATTATATTAATATCCGAACTCCATAACAGTGTAATAATAATAGTGTAACAATAACAGTGTAACAAAATATTTACAAAAAAATTTGTATTATTACATTTTATCAAACATATATTTTCATATAATTTTATTCAAAACAGTCCATCTCCGTTTTGAATTTATTATCACATGCACAAAATCACTGAACATTTTTTTTGTTACAATGTATTGTTACACTATTATGGAGTTTAGATATTAACAAATTTTGAAATTCAAACAATTGATATATTTTAAAATAAACGGATTATTAAAGTTCTCATATAAAACTAGTAATAATAAATATTTAATATATAAATATAATTTGAAAATAAAAGCACTTTGCAAAAAAAAAAATTCATGAATCAAGATGCATTAGATAAAAGATTTTGAATTAAATGACCATAAATTTCAGCACTTAAGATAAATGTCTTATTATAGTTTTTAGAAAAGAAAATTTAACAAAATGGGTATTTACGTCTTTGTATCTCAGTTGTTTACTTTTTTTTTAAATATTTTCTCCTGTGTACTTTTTAACAATTATGTCTAATTTAGTGTACCGACTTCTAAAAGATCCTTTAAAATTCAATGATAAATTTTTAAAGTTTCAAATTCAATGATTATCAAAAATAACTGTGCACTAGGTGGAAGGGAAGGTGGGCTGCGTGGGAGGTGGGTGATCAGGTTTTTGGGCTAAGTTTTAACGGATTTGGTGGACAAGCTATTGGGCTGAATTTTGAGCAGAGTAATAAGTTTATGGGCAGGCTCAAGCCCTCACTTTTAAGAAATCGGACTCGAGTTTGAGCAGACCAACTATCAAACTTATTAAATTTCGAGTGTTTTTTGGGCTGGTAACAGAATCAATGGACAACCCGATTCATGGACACCCGTACCGCTCAAGTTGAATTTTAATAAACTGCAATGACACCCCTCCTTGTTTTTGATATTTCAATGCTATCTTTTTTGTTTTATAAATTACACTGACACCCTTGTCAGTTTTATCTTCCAAAATACATCAAATGGATGCAGCCACAAGACGCTGTTGCCCTCCTCTATATACAAGTTTTCTTTTGCCCCACACAGGATCGTCTCTTTCCTCTCTCTTCCCTTTCAACAATCTCTCGACTCTGTCCTCTCCTCTCTCGTTGCCGCAAACATCCACCACCACTCACCTTTATCTCTTCATCTCTCTATTCTTTCTTATTTTTACAAGCACAAGTATACACAGCGTACACACATGCACAACACCCCAACACAATCATGCACACCAAAACCTGATTTTGAGTAATCTTCTTCAAAGTCTGATGGTCTGATGCGACTGTAATGGGTCATTGTCAAATTAAACAATGAGGTGAGTTTCTATATTGATGAACTTTGACATGGGTCATGGTTGATTCACTTTTTGCGCGTAGATTAGAGTGTTTTGAGCAAATTTTACCATCAAATTTTTATTAAATTTTTGGCAAACTTTTCTTTAGATTTTTTGTATAGCTTTTCTTAATGCAAAGACTCTGAATATAATGATTATGGAGAGGATGAGAAATTAGACTATACATAGACCCAAAGGATGGATGAATTTTGTGTCCAGTAAAAACCCAATTATCAAACAGAGAACAAGTCAAGTCAATGAATTTGCTTACATCCCATCTCAGTTAGGCAGAAGACTATGATACCAGCAAAAATTTCTGTATTGTAACATCATCATCTACAAATTTTGGGGAATATTTATAATTTTGTGAGGACCAACCCACAAAACTTACAAAATTTAGTGGCTTTGGGCACAGTAGTCTTCTTCCTCAGTTATAGGCATGTGTTGCCGACGGGTTCTTGTTGACGGGGGAATTTGTTAATATGAAATGGTATGGATCCAAATTTGTCACGCCATATTTTATAAATTTAGATTTGATATGTCAATCTTATTATGATCCAAGGGTTTGATGTCCTCTCCTTTTTTTCTTGCATGTTATTTGATGAGACATTTCTGGAAGAAGACAGATCGGCGATATGTATCTTCGGCATCATTATGTTCTCAACCAGGTATGGCCACGTGTCCTCGGCGACACTCATCCCCATCTGCCGAGGCGATAGTGCTCGGAGCCGAGGGATCGCTCAATCGGTGTGTTCAACACCTATATCCTCGGCTCGATAAAAATCTTTGACCCCGAGATAAATAAATATTCCTCGGTGTCGAAGTGTTCCTTCTGTATGTTGGATCCCACCTCTCCTCTGCTTCTACAAAAGGTAATGATTGACAGATGATTAGTCTAGGCCAAGTTAGGCTAATCATCATGAAGATGCTCTATTCAATGGTGTCAGGAGGCGTAGGAATGCAGAACGTACAACCAAAGAGGGGTGGACGCGTGGAATTTAGTATCAAATTTGTAGCAAAAAGATTTGGATACCCTTGCTGACACATGACTAGAGCAAGTAAGTATTTAATGAATTCTCATCCTGATGAGACAGCAATTAAGGCATGAGCGCTAAGAACTGCAGTGCATTAAAGATCCCCATACTTGCATTTAATACATCCTTGCTGAGAAGGGGGAATTGAATGTTTGGCAGACCGAGGAGTGAGTTTTAAATGCTCGGCATTTCAATCAGTTAAAGCAAAGCCCATTCCCCATAAAAGTGAAAGACACACTGCCCCATCTCTGACAAATACCTGCTGGATGAACTATCATCAATCATTAGTTTTTGAAGGTATAAATAGTTCTAAAAAACGCATTGCAAAGGTATGTAAGAACTTCCAAAAAGAGATACATAGTGCTTTCTTCTTCTCATCTCTCAAAGAACTGACTTGATCGTTAGAGGGGATACGTCGGAGAGCACTCCGACACCTTTCTAACTTATTTTTCTGTGTCATAGGATCCCCCTACAGTCTTCCAGGACCGATCAAGCGACCCATCAAACAATTCATCACCAGTCCTTAGGGCCCTTTTGTCCCTCTCAACCTATCTCTTATTGCCAAAACCCACGTTCGGATGGGTCAAATCTCAGCTGGAGGCGATCGAAAATCTTCAAAGCAAACCTTATGTTCCATCGGAATTATTATCTTGACAAATCATAATTCATTGTGGGATAGATTTATTCCTATTCCTACTATTGTGCGAAATCGGCACACACATTATTCACTTTATTATACCTTGTATTAATGTGATTAAGTTGTACAAATACTAGCGCTAATTGAACTCTGCAAGCCCTAATTTTTCCCCCAATCCTCAAACTCATTAATGTTTCGTCGAATAGGGAGAATAGAAAGTAAAAAGAATATATTTTTCTTCCTTTGTGTTTGGTTGGATGGATGGAAAATAAAAAAAATTAGTCCTGGTTAAGATTAGGGGTGACAATAAAGTCGAGTTGAATCGAGTCGTGTCATGTCGTGTCAGATTCGTATTGAGTCATTACGAGTTTGTGTCGAATATTAATCAAATCTAACTTAACTCATTTAACTAATTGTATCGTGTTGAGTTGACCTATTTATTTTCGTATCGAGTTTGAGTGGTATCATCGTGTTAAGTCAAAAATTTTCACCCTTATTTAATATAATTTTTTTTATTACTATTTTTTAAAAAAATTTTAAAATTTTTTAAAATATATATACATATTTTACCATTATATTTTTATATGAAATTAATATATACATAAGATATATAGACAAATAAAATACATCTCAATACAAATAATTAACTTTCTATCCACTTTCCTTCTGATTTTGGAGGAACTGATTTTGATAAGTTGAAAAAAAAATTAATCCATCTATTTTTTTATTCTTCCTACTTTCCTTTTTTACCAAACATGATGTTTCATTTATCTTTCTAACTTTTCATTCTCTAACTTTTCTATCGTACCAAACGGAACATAATAGATTGGTCTACTGTTAACTGGCTAACCAGAGGTTCGAACCCTACTTGAAAATTTGATCCAATTAAAGAGGTTTATGTTGTTATTTTTACACCTGGTCTGGTCACCACAGTATTACATCAACCATTAGAGCTTTAGGCCTTCAAACGCACAAGCTGGGGGGACTTACTCTACCTGTCGTCATTGAAATTTTTTAAAAAAAAAAATCATTTTATCATAAGTGTTGCCAAACGGTATAAATACACTATTTGTATCACACTTCCTTATTTGTATCATCAATGAAAAGTTGGGAATCTGAAATGGTAAGTGTTAACAACCAATAATCCAATATTCATCGTATCAACCAGAATGCAACTTTACTATCATGCATGATGTTCATCTAGTGAAAAATATAACAAAAACTGGATGAAATTATTGTCTTAATTTCCTAGGACAAGGCATTTATGATAAGAACCATAAGTAGATCAACTAGAAAGATTGTATCCATCTCTCCAATGGCCGAATGCTGCCACTTTTCCCGAAGTGTCGAGTTGAAGGAAGTTCTTCAGTCCAGCTTCACTGAGGAGAACAAGTAATGCACAAACCAAAACGAAGAAAGGAACCCGACCGTGCCTGTTGCAAGCATAATTGCTAGAACCATGAAGAGTGAATATCCCAAGTAAAGAGTGGCAGAGACAGGTCCACTCAAACTCTTTAGATCGAAAACCAGATAGTTTATGGAGTAAAGAAAGATGTATATGGCAACTGAACCAGACGCAAAGAAGGATTTCCACCACCATTTCCAGTCCTCCACACAGAGATGCATGTAGGTTAGAACGAGAGACACTTCAGCACAAACCACCACAAGAAGGGTCAAAACAATGAAGAGGAATCCAAAAACATAGTATACACGGCCCATCCAAATACTGGACATGATGAAAAAGAGTTCGATGAACAGTGTACCAAATGGGAGAGTCCCAGCCCCAAGAACTAAAAGCCAAGATGGGTATCTTTGGGCTGGGATTTCCCGAGGGATCTGATTGGTTCGAACAGGGTATTCAATATGAGGTGCCCTTGCCCCAAAGTAACCACCAACAAGGGTAAGGGGAACCGAGATACAGAACCACAACAAAATGAGTATTACAAAGAGAGAAAAAGGGATGGCTCCTGTGCTGTGACTGCCCCACAATAAGAAATTCAACGTCGTTAGAATAAAAAAGGCAATACCAGGGAAGAAACAAGCAACCCGCCAAGAGACTGAAACCCATCCTTTGTGATCGCCACAGAAGATTGTCCTCCACATACGAACAGCAACATAACCAGCTGCAATTCCGAGAATCATGTAGAAAAATAACATACCTGTTATCAGTGTTCCACGAGAAGCTGGGGACATGAACCCGAGAGCGGCAAACAAAATCGTCACAACTGCCATCCCAAGAATCTGGACCCCATTGCCCACCATAACACACAGAAGTGAAGGATTCCTTGGAGCGCGAAAAACATCTCCCACAACAAGTTTCCACCCTGATAACTCCTCATTCATCTGGGCTTGAGCTTCCTTATCCAGTTCCTCATACCGAGTCAGATCCCGCCTAANCCACAAACGAAAACTCATATGTAAATGCCAGAGGCTCATTCTCCTTAATAGCCATGGCCACAGTGTTGGGATCACACTTGATCACAGACGGACTTGCACCATACATTTTCAAATTCTGCAGTGACTCAGCATTGTGTTGGATACTACAAGGGACCACCTCAAACCCAACAATCATGTATTTAGGCTTCTCTGATCCCGACTTCCCAACCGTAGGGATCACCTCGGCCCTATCCCCAGTACCAATCACACGAGCCACATTGGTCTCCTCATACTTATGAACAAGAACTGTAAATTTCAAGTGATTAATCACATAATACACATCTTGAACCTTAATTCCCACAGGATAACCTGTCCACCGCAAGGAAAAACCCTCCCTCCTAATATACCAAGTGGCGGGTAAATTATCAAGAATCAAATTAACCTGATACATCTCATCAATCCTCTTCTTCAAAAGCTTAACTTCATCACCCAACAATGGCTTGGTTTGACAGAGAAAGATCTTTGTCTCATTGGTGTACATCTTAAATCTGTACGGATAATTCTTAATCTTATCACCCATAAGGAGCTCACCAAGAAGGTTCATGGCACTGTCATTCACACCCTCTTGGGGCATGCAAAAGGGTAAGCTATAGTAGCTAAAGGGAATTTCAGTAACAAATGAAGTAAATGAATTCATTTTCACATACAAGAAATCCCCAACAACAAATTTGTGCGGGTAATTACCCGGAAGGTAAAACCCAGACCCCAATTGATATATCAAGCAGATAGACAAGACCCAGATCTTGACTTTATCAAATAAGTCAATTTGGATCATTTGCTTGGATATTTTGTACCGCGTCTGGAAGACCAGATCAGAAAATCGGTGTCAAAGCAAGATCGGAACAGTTTCAATCTGGGTTTTGAGTTCAAGCAAAGATCGAAGGATGAAACCTAAATAATTTCCAAGGATTTGTGAGGGTAATATCAGATCAGATTATAAAGTCTAAACAATATGAAACAATAATCAAGATAAAACGAAAGAAACAGAGAATTGAAAAGGGTTTGCGTGAAGATATAATAGCAAAGTGCAGATCTAACTGATCTTCAGAGAGATTAATTCGTACACAACCGATAGAAGAGTTGCGGTGAAGATGAGAATTGCGCAGAAATACAGATTATGCTTCGTTGAGCTCCGTGAATGCAGATAGACGGAGAGAGAATGATTGTTGGTCCAATTGTATACGGTTTCATCCGAGGTTTATTGAACCAACCCTTTTGCTTTCGCTCTCTAGAATTGGTTATCTCGCTAAAACTTCGAGTGTCTGAGAGAATATTGAGAGGATATCTGGTTGATATGCTCGGGTATTCGAGAATGAAATGGAGGGGATGGTTGCCCGCCATGGCACCGTGACAAACCGATAATCGCAAAGCGCTTGAAGATAGAGAAAGGTCCAATTATTCTTTCCTCGGTATCTCCGAAGCCCTTTCCTCTTCAGTATCTCCGAAATCCTAGTGTTTCTCTGAAAAGCTTCAACGAACAGAGACCGTCCTTATACGCAGGAGATTCTCTGAATAGGGGCGGCTAAAATTTTTTTGGCCTGGGTACAAACTATTCCCAGAACGAGTAATCAGGCGAGTCGGGTCAGGTTCCGGTAAGAATATGCTATCCGTAGTTTTATCCGTCACTTGTTGAGCGGGTCTATTGGATGGCCCTGTGGCAGGCCTTGCGGATGGAGCTTTTGGGCGGGCTATTGGGCCTTCTAACTTTTTTCCATCTAACTTCCAAAGTTTAAAATTGAAAAAATTGGAATAAGGTATACCAAATTGAAATTAATTATAAAAAGTTACAAAAAAAAAAAANATCATGTCGTGTCATATTTTGATAAGCCTATTATTAAAGAGAGATTCACTTTTGATTTCAATAGAGGATTTTACATTAATAAAAGATTGTTTATTATTGAAATTTTTTTTTAAAAAAATGTCTTAGAAGGGATCGGGTTCCCTTACCTTCACCCAATCCATACCAAATATTATTGGATTTGAATCTTCTTCAATTCATGCTTACTCAATAATTCTCAATTACAAATTTTTTGTTGTGGGTTAATGGGAAAATCACGCATTTATAGTTAATTCTATTTTATGATGGATGATCCATCGCGGAGTAATATTAAGAAAAGATACATTAGAAATGGATCTAGCAACATTCTCATTGCTTAACAATTTTTTTTTGTTGGTAATTAACATTAATTTTATAGAATTAGACAATTACCATATTAAAATCCGTTCTATCATTAGACTTTTTCAATACTAAATCGCCTACCGTTACAAGAGGGAGATCTAGTTGTATTCGTGGTAAGTGATATATTAGAAAAATCTAAGCATGGAAATGAATATGAATATGCAATCACCAAACAATAATTTATGTTATAACTTGAAATGTTACGGTGACCAAATTTGTCTCTTTACTTCATATGCTTGTCACATAGAATTATTTAATCAAACCTAGATCCAACTCTATTTTCGAGGAAATTGTTTAATCAAACCTAAAGTATATGACAATCTTATAAAGTCAATCATAAATAGGCTTGACTTTAAGTTCGATGTAAACAACATACCCTCTCTTGAAGATCTCCAATATTATTGGTTAGTAAATTATCCTCTATATATAACTGTGGGACTCATTTAAACTAGTAGTTCTTACGTGATTGTGTAGTGGTTATCAACCTTAAAACTAAGTAAAAAAAAATGGTATTTAAGAGACTTAGGTCCCATCTCTCAACCAAATTCACATACCAATTTTTTCAAAATAAAATAATTTGTTAAAATTTAAGCGAATGTTTTTTTAATTTTATATTTTAGTGAATCCCTCCACAAAAAGNACCAAATTCATATACCAATTTTTTCAAAATAAAATAATTTGTTAAAATTTAAGCGAATGTTTTTTTTTATTTTATATTTTAGTGAATCCCTCCGCAAAAAGCACAATAAGTCTTTTAATGTTAGAGGAAAGTAAGAGAAGTTAGTAAAACGNCCAAATTCACATACCAATTTTTTCAAAATAAAATAATTTGTTAAAATTTAAGCGAATGTTTTTTTAATTTTATATTTTAGTGAATCCCTCCACAAAAAGCACAATAAGTCTTTTAATGTTAGAGGAAAGTAAGAGAAGTTAGTAAAACGATAGATTTTATTTTTTTCTTGTTTAATCTACTTTACTACGCAACTGGATTAAGATTCTATAAAACATTTTGAGAGTTGAAGGAGTGCACCAAAGGCCGAAAGGTGTCCACTCACATCTCTAATAGTATGATTATAATTAAATGATTGATTACAACTTGAAAGCTATGTTGTGCGAGTCTTGACGAAGAGAGCTTACCATCAAGCAATAAAGAAGAATATTTTCAGTCCTTAAAAGGAGAAACTTTCTTGTTTGTGACATTATATATCAAATATGGTCACTAATGTCTTGTGTATTCATTGGAAAATTTGATCTTGTGATTATTCAATAAAGTATAGAGACGGGCAAGTTGAAACATTTTCACCCTCTCCTACATATAAGCAAAGTTCTAATTTAAGATTAGACAATAATCCACACCACCCATAAACTTAACAGTAAAATACCCGATATAAATTTGATGTTAATGAGTTTGAAGAGCATTCATTGGATTGAGATGAATCCGACCATATGAAAGATATCAATTATACACTATAATAAATGAATCATGAATGCATAACATAACATTTGATACGTTATGACCGAGACTTGCCACGAAGCTGACACAACCTGACCCATACATTTGTGGTCCCTTAATGCAGAGCCTTGGCTCCCAATCTCACAGCTTCTCAGAAGTATCCATGCACATTTTAGGCCATGTTTACATCCACAATTTGACCATTCTGTTTTTGGAATGTTAGCTTCGCTACACTTTTCAGTAAAGAACTACGTTTTCATTTTAAAATGGTCATGAAAATTGAAACGAATTATTAATTAAACATAAAAATTTATATGTTTCCAAATGTTTCAGTAAGTTTTAAAGTGTTTCGTCATATATTTTGACATATTTCAACCAATGTTGCGAAAATAAATTTTTAAATTTTTTTTTGTTTCTATTTTGTTTCCGAAATGTTACTGAAGTGTTTTCATTTTCAAATTCACCAAAATGCACCGAAACAAAATTTTAATCCTTCCCCGTCAACATTAATATAATAAAATGGCTGCGAGCTTCCTACTGGTCTGAAGGGCTAGAATTCCCTCTTACCAATCACCACTTTCAATTATCAGGGCAAAATGACCAAGAGACAATCAGATTTGATGATTCCTAACACCAACATGTAATAGAAAAGAAAAAAAAACAGCCCAATACTTAAAGGCTCCCACAAATGGATTTGGAGAGCGTTAGATGTAAACAACCTTGTCCAAACCTACGAAGAGACTACTTCCGTGACATAAACCCTTGAATAGATCGAAGAGTAAGGGGAAAAAAATCAAACAGCGAAACACTAAATGATAATGGTAACACTAACATGGTCAACAATTTGTACAGATGTTATATAATCAGCTTAATTGAGGAAACTAAGAATTACAGGAAAGTGAGGAAAAGAGGATTTTTCCTCCCTAAATAAATTACTGGCGACATAATATCTACCCTTATGCACCCAATCCTCGGGATTTTGGAAGCCTTACCGCAGCTAAAGGGTTGACAATGCCTTGTGCATCTTTGCCTAGGCCCATGCCTTCAACAAAACCCATCTTCGCCATCATCTTCGATCCAAACCCCTTGGTATGCTTCTCAAAAGCTGCAAATTGTTGAGTTCCCTTCTTTGCCGAATTACCGCTCATTTCAGGCGCTTTTGCATTGCTTGTTTCAGGAGATTTTGCACCCAATCCAAGTGATTTTGGTCGTTGGATCACTTGTATAGGCTCTGAGATACCTTGACCATCCTTTCCCAATCCTCCACCTTCTATGAATCCCATTTTAGCCATCATTTTTGAACCAAAGCCCGTAGTGTGCATCTCGAATGCACCATATTTTGATGTGCTGGGTTCCCCTTTGTTTTCCTGGCTAGTGTTGTTCATCATGTCGTTTGATTCAAAGGTTCTGAGCTCAGCCGTGTCAGATTGCATAACACCACTTGAAACAAAGGACACGGGCTGAGCAGCATAAGATGCTTTCCCAACTTTTGTCTTCTTGCTTGCTTCTTTACGGCCAACGGAATTGGCTGAGCTCTTTACAGGCTTGCCCAGGGGCCATTGTGAGTTTAAAGGGCTCAAACCACTACCTTTTGAAGCCTTCTTAACTGATTTTATATCGTTGACAGTGAAATCAGCATCCTTATCAGCAGCTCCTATAAGCTGAAAATAAAAAAACAATCTAATTAGGTTTATTGCAGTTAATCAGTAGATAAACTCAAAAGTAACTAATGGAACTTTCAGATAATATGAAGAAAGAGCATAATATATATGCACACAACCCAAAATTGTAAATAAGCTAATGGAATAACTTTATGCTAATACCTTCTCAAGGCGAACTTTATCACTGGAAGATGGCATACAAGTGTGTGGTGTTCGTCGGACAGTCACAAATCTGAACAAGAAAATGCCAATTGAATTTGAACATTAGTAACATTTCTCTTCAATAAGGTCATTAGCACTTGGTCTCAACATCAAGGTGATAAAGTATTAGCCCAAGAAAAACATTTGACTACAAAGTTGATTACATTAATCTAACATGAGAATTGTATGGTACCTATAACAACCCAAGAACGTATTTTACCTTTTCTTGCCAGAACCTTGACAGCCACTCCTCAAGCGATAAATCGCTGCTAATCTTTGCACCTAAATATGTTTGAAAATTGGCAATGAGCACCAACGGAGAAATCTCATATATGATTTCAGGNAGATTACATTAATCTAACATAAGAATTGTATGGTACCTATAACAACCCAAGAACGTATTTTACCTTTTCTTGCCAGAACCTTGACAGCCACTCAAGCGATAAATCGCTGCTAATCTTTGCACCTAAATATGTTTGAAAATTGGCAATNTGATTACATTAATCTAACATGAGAATTGTATGGTACCTATAACAACCCAAGAACGTATTTTACCTTTTCTTGCCAGAACCTTGACAGCCACTCCTCAAGCGATAAATCGCTGCTAATCTTTGCACCTAAATATGTTTGAAAATTGGCAATGAGCACCAACGGAGAAATCTCATATATGATTTCAGGAAACAAATATAAAGTACCTGGGAACAATCCCGGGAGTGCATAGGTTGGAATGACAAAATATCCACCCCATCCAAAACCATCTGCTGCAATTTCTGCAAATGAAAATTACATCATTTTTGGTTGTCTTGGAGAAAAGCATACTAGTTTGGTTTTCTCCGAAAAAAATGTGAAAACCAGAACAATAAGGCTATTGATTACGAATTTGCGATGTTGTGTTCCAACCTTTCCCAGTTTAAGAACATTTGTCATTCAGAGTCTCCCCCCCCCCTTTCTCGGCGTAAAACTCTGCTTTTGACTCCATCACAAGGATGTCTATAGAGAAATCAGCTGCTAGAGTATTAGAGTGGTCTAGACTCGGCAGCGGAGTTCAGAGTGAGGTCCCACCAGATGCTAGACTAGGCNCCCCCCCCCTTCTCGGCGTAAAACTCTGCTTTTGACTCCATCACAAGGATGTCTATAGAGAAATCAGCTGCTAGAGTATTAGAATGGTCTAGACTCGGCAGCGGAGTTCAGAGTGAGGTCCCACCAGATGCTAGACTAGGCACTAAGATCCAATTGACTTATGACCAACACAGTGTACATAATTAATAGTTACCTTCAATGTACCACAGGAAATAACAACTTGCACACAGTTATTACCAGAAATAAGTAAGCTGAGATAATAGAATGGAGGTCTCATTTCATCTTCCAAAAAATGAAACATGACTTTCTTCTTACCAAATCTATTTGCTGAAGATCAACACCACGGCTAATCATTCTCTCCCGACGCTTTAAAGCAATCATTTCTTTACGATGTTTCTTTTTGGCACCTGATACATTACACAAAAACAATAAGTAGAGCTGAAGGCAGGTTGTTAATTTCATGCAAACCAGAACACAGTGATCGACACAATAGAAGCAAAATAAGACGAATTTTCTGTTAAAGGAAAAATTACTTCCAATTTCAACGACAGTTTCTATTTTATCAGCAGAAATTTTTTTGATAACAATTTCTATTATTTTCTTCATCACCTGAACATCAGTCAACCATTTGGAAAAAATAGAAGAAAAGAGCAGAATCAGTACTTGCCTCCACCATTTTCTGTTTCAGATTAGGTCAATTTCGGATGTTCCTCTGAATTTTAGAAACAAATAGTAGTGAGAAAACTGCTTCTGTATAGGCATACCACGGGAGAAAGGATGTAAACTTTATCTTTAATTTCTTCCTTACTTTGACCTTTGTTAAATGTAAGATACAATCCAAGGAAACAAATTTAATTTTTTTGGGTCAAAAAACCTTTAGGTTCATAGGTATGTGCAAATTAATCAAATTCTTTTTACCTTTTCACATTTTTTATGTTCAATTTCTTGCCTAAGTCATTTATAAGAAGATCAAGTTTTCAGATGCCAAAACATCTGAAGTGCTAATTCATAAGTTATATTCAACTACAAGAAGGGTAACTTTTAAAAAGTGGAGACATTGACAAAATGATAAATATAATTTATCTATTGGAGCTCTCCCTCACTCCAACCAGTGACACCATCTTGAATCATGCCTCGTGTTTGCGTCCAATTCATTCAAGCAGATGGAATTTGACACGTGTAGGATTAATTTGGTGATTTATGAGAATGTTGCACAATACATTAATGTTAAATGAGATAGTAACCTCATATTCACCAAAAATTCCAAATATTTGGCCCCTGAAGAGAACAATGTTACATACATGAGATGTGGAACAAGGCACACAAACCCAGATAAGTGTATTTAAGTGAGGCCCTTTACCTGGAAACTCCCTGAAATTTTTACTCTTTTGAGCCTCAGAAGGCCAAGACTGAGGAAATCTGGCTACATGCTTCTTTCTTCCAGAAATGGTTCTGGGATCCTTTACAAGCATTAGATCATCCAAAACAGAAGATCCAGCAAATTTAGTGACTCTAGATTTGTACTCCTTAGCTGAATAGTTCCTTCCTGATTGAGGCTTCTTCATGCCATTTTCCCTTGATTGAGGTTTCTTCATGCCATATTCCCTTGACGCTTCCTGAAGAGCAATTGCACCCAACCTTTCTACAGTCTCAGTAAAGCTACCCTCAGAAGTACTATCATCATCTGAGCCATCAAGAATTTGTCCAACCAACTGATTAATATTCACAACATTACCACTCTCACCAATTCCTTCAAAGTAATCCATTGCAACCTCTTCATCAATATCAGAAATACTATCAGATGAGCAGTCGCTATCAGATGATCCAGTGGAATCTCCTGTCACAGAAGACTGGGAGTTTTCCTCGTCTGGCAAATCTTCTGCGTCATCCTCATCACTTTCCTCATATGACATATCCTGGGTATATAATTTCATGCCTCCAATGGACAAAAATCCAGAATTTTGTGCTGGCGATGATGACTTGGCCAGTAAGCCATCACCCATTTTAGAACTTACCTTGTGGAAATAATCAATATCTACATCAGCATCCATATCCTCCTCAGGGGACGATGAAGAAAAAGAACCTTCTTTCTCTTCCATTTTAGATGATGAACCAATACCACATTGGGTTCTTTCTGCTTCTTCAGAGAACCCCAATCCACCACGGGAGATATCATCCAATGCAAAACTCGCGCTGTAATTGTAAGTGTATTCGACATTTTGCTGTTCCATAGATGGTGTTTGGTCTACATATGCGACAATTTGGGTCTCCTTGGAATCCACCAAAACAATTGGATGTGACTCATCCAAATTGTTGTCTCCCTTGTTACCGCAATCTGGAAGTGAATCTCCCTGCAAAAAGCTCAAGTAGATCTAAATCAGTCAAAGGTTATAACCAAAATTTTCTTTCTTGGCATCCATACAGCCCAATTCTTATTCTGCCAGTACAGTATCAAAAATAATCATTCCCTTGATAAATATAGAAAATACAAATGTTCAGAACCAAATTTGAAGCTGATCTCATAACAATGAAAAAATTGGTGTCCGATTCTGGGAAAATGCCTCCCAAACAAACACCAATATCATCACATGAGTAGTATTGATCCATCAAAATTGCCTACTTGAACTTTTCAAAATTCCCCTAACCGCATTCAGCAATCAACATCCTCAAAGAATTTAGGATGAATGATATTTCTTTTTTCTTTTTTATCATTTTAGAAACAAGCTTCAATGTTGAAATAACAATATTTTGAATTTTGTAAGAAAAACTAGTCACGAATTGTTTTTGAAACAATTGCACCAAACAAGTCAAAAATCTTAACCCACACTATGAAACCCAACAACTAAAACAGCTTGTTTAATCATAGTTATTCCTTACCACATCAACAAAAACCAAATCGTCAATCATTGTTATTCATAAACAGGTTCTATGGCAATCAATTATCCAGATGTTCTCCATAAAGCACCCAAATTAAACAAATCTATCCAACCCTTCAAAAAGTTTATTGATAAAATTGGCCTTTCGAAAAGCTTTTTGATAAAACTGGTCACTTGCTCTATTCAGATAATTAAATGGACAAAATGACAAAACTTCTCCCCCACCGCAAAAATAAAAAATTATAATTCATCAAATTCTTCAATTTTTACTTTCAAAGTCAAAACTATTGTTATCATGGTTAATATTGTTAAGAAAGATTGTCCACATCGAATGATTTGGATCACCATGGTTGGTGGGTTGGTTTATATGCTCGAGGGGTCTCTCCGCCCGTTGCCAACTTGTTTTGCGGTGGATGCTCTAACAAGCACTATAAAAAAAAGACTTTGAAAAGCTGCCCGTTAATACAGCTCTACTTCCATTCAGACCATTAGAATGTTAAATAATATAAAAAAGATTATTGTTTGGGAAAATATATCTAATCACAAACCAAAAAATAAAACTGAAATTTCAATTCTAAATCCAACTTGTTCTAAGAAACAAATTTACCCAACTCACCTTAATCCAACGTTTCTTTAAGTATTAAACAACTTCTCATCAAAAATCCAAGCTTTAACTAAAAATACACCCATTCAAAATCCAAACCTGCATAAAGCCCTCTTACCAAGCCAACAATCAAGAAAGCTTCCCCTAAGCTGAAACATAGTTCAAAGACCCAACTACTACTATAGTCACAACAAAAAATGGGCATAATATACATATGAGCACACACATGCAGATAACACAAAATTACGAAAGATTTAACTTTCAGACCACAAATCAGGTTTAACCACAAAATGCAAACCCACCTAAAACAACCCATTAGGCATCCACATCAATCAACCCCAACAATCAGAAAGCTTTATTAACACAAAGAAAAGAATCAACTTTGAGTATGGAAATCAATATTCAACAGAGAATCAAAAACCTGGTGTGAGTACACGTAACCAAAAGCATTTCCACCAGTTTTCTTAGCCTCGCTTTTGGACCCAGATCCTCTCAAATTCCCAGACTTGGGCGCAGACCCAGAATTTCCATTTCCGTTACTTGAGTTCCTTCCTACAAATCCACCAAAGAAAGAAAAGTAAAATATACTTTACATCAAAGTCAAAAAACACACCCAAATACATAAACATCGCTACACGCATCCACCATCGAGCGAGAGAGAGAGACCTCTGGAAGGAGGTGAATTGACGACAGACCAATCGGATAAAAGGCCACCATCGACAAAGGAAGAGTTTGGCAGTGTTCTACGGCTCTTTGCTTTGTTGAACCTTTTCTTGTTACCTCCCATCGATTGATTGTCTTGTCTCAAGAGAGAGAGACGCCACGGAAGGGCTACAGAGCCTCGGGGTTTCGATCGGAGGTGAAGCTTGGGAGGAGACAAAATTCATATGCTGTGGAGAAGAGTTTTGATCCTGTACGATGCAGTATACCATGTTCGATGACAACATTGGTTTTACGTTTTTGAAATAGGGAGAAAGGCTACAACAATAAACCGTGTAAAATCAGACCTTCATCGTTCGAATTCTGAAGATATTTATTCTTTATCAACGCATTAGTTTTAACATAAATGCTCTATTTTCAATTATACTAAAAAAAATTAATAAAAATGTGCGTAAATTAATTTAAATATTCTTACTGTTAAAAAAAAATTGACAAATGATTACTTGAGGTACAATTACAAGGGACAGTAGTGTTTGGAATGCGTGTATGGTGGGTGCGGTAACAAATTATTTTAAAAGGGTTAGTAATTGTGATTAACTAAACATTTCACGTTGAAAAAGTCCTCGTGATCACGTCCAGGGTCCTCTTCCCATCTTTCTTGACCAAAAAAAAATCACAGTCAATGGACAAATCAATCGGTTTCGTTAGCTACGTGGAGGACGAAATATTAAAGAATGTCTTGAGTGTAATTCTAAAATAAGATGTTCCAATCTTTAAAGTTATCTTAAAATTATACGGGGCATCAATATAATTTATCCTGAAATATAAGACAACTTTTCATATACTTCTTAGATTTTCATTTCTTTAATGTACCACCTAAGATTAATATGACTAGGATTCGTTCATTACGTATTTCTTCATTCTTTAGGTAACAGAGTGAGATCTTAAAAATTATATTCAGGTCATTAGTTTTGGTCAAATCACTCCAACTAATTTGCAGTAATTTCAAGCAATTCATTTATAGTCTTCAATGTTGTAAACTGTCATTTTTTTTCTTGGCTGATCATGCCACAACTTCTGCATAGATTGTAATGGTCCGTTTGAATGAAAGTTTGAGAGATGTAAAAATTAGAAATATAGATTTTTTTTATCTTTTGAGGAAAAAAAAGTATTTTCTCTCTTTTTTGTATAATATGTTCAATGAAAAATTGGAGAGATTATTTTTCTATTGTTTTGTATTTGAGAAAAAATAAAAATAAAGAAAATATGTATAGACTTAATTTACCACTATACCCTTACTACAAAAAATATTTTTTTATTATATATAAGATTTTTAAGATTTAAAAATATTCAATGTCGCTTGAATTAGTTATAAAAATAAATAAATAAATAAAAATATGTGTACAAAAGATAGTAGCCAAAAACACATAAATATAAAAAATGTGTNTAAAAATATGTGTACAAAAGATAGTAGCCAAAAACACATAAATATAAAAAATGTGTGAAAAAGATATTTAGAAATGTACAAGTTTTGAATTTAAATTGTTACATAATATTTAGAAGTATATTTAAGAGTAAGAAGGTCAATTTATCTAAAAATTAGATTGTCTTCAACCTTTCTCTCACTTTTGGAAGGACAAAAAATGGTGAATTAGAGAGAAATACTTTGCCTCCAAATTTTCTTCCCGTTCTATTTTTCATTGGAACCAAACAATGAAAACTCTTTCTTTCTATCTTATTTTCTTTCTCCATTTTCTTTTAAATCAAACACTCTGTAAAATATGGCAAATCACGACACAACATGGCTACCGTCCGTGGCTATGTGGCATATTCGTAATTTGCCCTTTTCACACAAAAAAAATGGAATTATTGTGCCAATAAATGTTGAACCCATGAGGGAAAAAAATGGATATCTGGGAAATTATTACAATCGATTGTATTAGGGTCTTCTAGATCCATCCGATACTACATTCTCCCAATTTTATCAGTATTAAACGATGAATGTTTAACCTCGGAGGAATCTAGCATTTTACTAGATCCCGCCTTGCTTACTCCAAATAGAAAGTTGTTCAATAGACTATGTTAGGGCTAAGTAATTCTGGATTCTAATGAGAAGCCCAAAGGTTCAAAGCCCAACGCAGCCGAAAAGAGCCGTTCCATATGCCATCACCAAAGGCCAGGCCCGCCAGCCACAGTTTAACACTTTATAGCCTGCTCTGTCAACTGCATCTTTATGGCTCAGCAAATAGGGTTGCCACAATATGTTATTTCGGTAAATTGAAAGGCGATATATCAAATTAGAGTTAATTGTAAAAAATACATATAAAAAAATATACAGAAAAAAAATATTTAATTTTAATTCTTATTTGTGTTCACGTACATAATTTGAAATTTTTGGATTTTTTTTTTGACATTTGTGTCCTCCCTTAATTCATGCAATTTATTTTTGGAAACTGATTTTTTTTTTCAGATTATATGTATGCATTAAAAATTTTCTAATTTAATGAAAGATTAGATCCTTTCGTTTTTTTTGAGGATAAATGTATGCATTAAAAATCTCTTAATTTAATGGAAGATTTGATTATTTCATTCTTCCGTTTATTTTGAAGATAAATTAATTGGTTTGAATTTTAAATTTTATAACAGTATCTTTTGTTATCTTCTTCTTCTTTGGCCTAGAAGCCATTTATCAGTTCAAGTCTGAAAACATTATTTCTTCCTTATTATTCAGTCTAAACAATTACAAGGTTTGAATTTATGACTCCATTGGGCTCGTTTGGTTGTTGTATTAGAAATTGATAGATTAAATAAAGTAATCCAGTCTAATATAATACAGAAGTACAAAAGACAAGATTAAATTAGATATTAGAATAATACGCATTTTTATATAATGTTTGACAATATACAATATAAACATTGGATAGTAGTTATTTAATTCAATCGATTGTTTGTTTAGAGAATTATTTCATCGTATTAATGTTAAATTAACAGAAATATCTTCAATCAATGTTTGTTACATTGATGACAACTTAATTTTATCAGTTGAAATGTTATAATAGTAACTCTATAGAATAATAGGTTTGAGTTAGATTATAATACCATCTCTTTTGGTAGTATTAAAATACCTTCATAGTACAGGTCTATCGTACAAAAAATATATGATTAGTATATGTTTTTAAAATTAATACGACATTAAATTTGCTTTCCAAACAAAGTATTAAGTTCGCTTAAATAAAAAATAGTAGAATTCAATATTTAATCTCCACATTATACATCTATCAAACGAGGCCGTTAGGTTTATGTCTGTCATTTTAAATGTGATTATTTTGTTTTTTAATATACGAACACCATAACAGTGTAACAAGACACTTACACAAAATATTGTACTATTACATTTTATCAAACATATATTTGCATATAATTTCATTCAAAGAATTCATCTCTGTTTTAAATTTGTTACCACATGTGCAAATCACTCAATACTGTATTTATTACAGTGTATTATTACACTATGAGGAAAACACAATCAGCAGTTAGGAGATATATACAATTTATTCACACACAATGAATTAATATGGCAGGAACACATGACAGAAACATCGTATTTTATACAGGCTAACGATCGACTTTCAACAACTGATTCTAATATTCAAATGCTGAACTTTGTACATATCTTCAAATGACAAACAAATCTTCAAAAAATAGTTGTTGTTGACGATCTTATATCAAATGGGCTTAACATTATGATTTTTCTTTCAACGACGAAACTCTATAGATGTTTAGGGAATAATTTTAGGGCTTATCGCTAAGGAAAATGAAGTGATTTTTGGATAGAAAGAAGAAACCCAAACGTTTTTTGAAGATGAAGTGTTTTGCGAATAAATATTTCTAAATTTCAGCGGTTAACTATTATAATTGTGTATCTAATTAATTAAGATATATTCCTAAAATCGTTTTAGGAAAGTAAATTTTAGGAAATAGGCAGTTACGAAGATGAAGAGATTAGAAAATAAATGTCTCTAAATTTCAACGGTTGAGATAAATTCCTTGTTATAGTTTTTAGAAATTTTTTTTTACAAAATCGACAGTTATGTCTAGGGCTGTTAAACAAGTCAAGCTTGAATTTTTTTTAAAGCTCGTTTATGTGTAAATAGTTAAACGAACCAACTCGTTTATGTGTAAATTCAACTCGATTTAAGCTCGAATTCAGCTCGATTAACACCCCTAGTTACGTCTTTGTATCTCAGCAGTGTATTTCTTTCAAAAATATTTTTTTTTATGTATTTTTTTATAATTATCTCTAATATGGTATACCGACTTGCAAATGACCCATGTTGTTTTTGCCTCTCTAAGCTCAAAGGCGCAATACGGTTAGGCCCAAAGGCGAATTACACTTTCCACCTTAAAAAGATTTAAAATTTTTTGATTTGTAATCCAAAAAATTAAAATTTTCATATTTTATCTTTAATTTATCAAAAGTATTACAATGTAACCCTTATATTAGCATTCTCCTAATTTTTCCGTCATTGTCAATGGGTTAACTTTTGATTTTTGTATTTGATTTGTTGATTTCTTATCGTTTTAACTTTTTAATCCGTTGATTAGCCAATCAGGCAAGATAGTCCCAACCCAACCCAACCTGTTTGGTATCCTTACTTTATCACCGAATGTGAATGTGAATGTGATTTAGGGTTTTTTTTTTTTTGAAATCTAAATATATAAACATGCGGGGTAGCGTTGGTGAACACAGTATATAAAACATGTGTCTCAAGTTAAGTTTCTTCATATACCTACTAGCTATTATGGAACTTCTCCTATGAAACTTGTCTGAGTAACCCAATTACATGGTCTATAATTTTCAGGCATCAAAACAATCGTAGTTTGGTATAGTAGGTTTGAAATGTACGTGGCTAATGTTTTCAACTAAATATCATCCAAGCATGTCTCATTATTTGGTTGCTTCTCAACACAGGTTTTATTGGTTACAAGTTTCTACTTCCCTCTCCAGACGTAACTTCACAAACCACACAATATTTTCCTCAACCAAGCCTCTCAAAGTTCATTCCAAATATCCAATATGTTTGCCCATAAGTTTCCCATACATCATTCACCAACTCTCTCTCTCCCTTCAGAATATATCAGCAGGGGAGGGAGGAGTAAGGAAGCCGATCCAACTAGGCCAATACCCGTTTAAAATTGACCTAGCTACAACCCGGAACTGTATACTAGAAAGTTTGTGCTTACTACGGCTGGGTTAGACCTTGGCTTCTACCATTTTTCTTTCACTAATCCTATTGGGACATCATTAATTAAGGAACATAATTTGAGGATTTAATGCATTGTTGTTATTGGATTGATACTAGAGTACATTCAATACCGAGACATATTGACAATCCAATGATCAAAATCATTATGTCCCAATAGCATTACTCGTGTATTTAAGAGTATTTTAAGTTGCGCATACCGTTATGATACTAAGAATATTGGTCAACTAAGTCGTATGGCTCATCCCTCGGCACTGTAGTTAGGTCTTCATTTGCATCATTATGTAAAAAACCAGAACATATGAGAATTCAATATACAAAAATATATTTGTATGTTCCTAAATTTGTGAGTCGCGATAAGAATTGTCATTAATCATGAGTGACTACAATACCAACACCGTTTGGGCACCTAGTGACCCAAACGGCAGTACCAATGAACAAAAAAAAAAAAAAAGGAAGTTTCTAGCACCATTAACTCTAAGTATGGACAAGAGCAAGTCATCCAGAAGCTCATGATCATGGACAATAGATGCGTGTGTGATGATATTGATGTGGTGTTAAGAAAATTGCAGAAAAAATACATCCTAGAAAAGGTTAATAGAGCCGACAAAAGGCAGAGACGTGTGACATTGAATAGAGTATATAGACTTAGAAAGTTTGTTATCCTTAAACACCAAAAGAAAAGTTCCACTTCACGTTTGAAACTATAAAGTATCTTCTTAGTAACTCCGTGAATGTTATACTCTTTGGCTTTCTCTCTCTCTCACACAACACATATACTCCGTCTTACTCTCTCAGTCATGAGTTATTACTAGTATAATATATATATAAAAAAAAAACCTAAATGCACTCGGTGTATGCATCTTTGTATTATGCCATATGTCACTTCACCCCTTCTAACTTATATCTTGGTTTAGATACCTCATGGATCACTATTAACAATGTTAAAAGTACAAGGATCACCAAAGTTTTCCATATTATAAGATTACCCTTCTATTATTAAATATTGTGGAATACAATATCAACCTAATGTTAATTGAATAAAATTAAATTGACAAATAAGACAATTAAAATTGGGCCTTTATTTTTTAAGAAATGATAACCAATTTAAATGTATATCTTACTACATATATAACACAGTGTTGGTTAATTTAGTGACTATCTAAATATTTCATGGGAAAATTCATATAATAGTAATTTTTATTATATCCATCAATTAGTCGATAAACTCTGTCAAAAGCTGTTAGTCAAGTTTTAAATAACGCTAAGGATATTTGTGAAAATATGAGAATCCACCAAGGGTGCGCACGAAATTTTGCTTCAATATGTACACCAATAATATTTTTTTTTAGAGAAATTTGGAGGTCGGTCCCCTTATATGGACTTGTTTGGACTTAAGTCCGTCAAAGAAACTTATTTGTTATGAACTCTGTTTTTTGTCAATTTTACCATACTATCTCTTTCTTTTAGAAGTGAAATAAAACTAAAAATTAAAAATTCCTAAATCTTAGGAGTTTGACTAACATTAAAATTTTCTCTTATATATATAGTAACATTAAAAATAAAAATAGTAACATTCAAATACAAAAAAAAGTTATCATTTGGACACAAAAAAAATACATTTAAACACAAAAAGAAAAGTAACATTTAAACATAAAAAAAAAATTGAAACATTCAATATAAATATTTTTAAAAAATAACAATAGCAACATGTTCAACAAAAATATTAACATGTTCAACAAAAATAATAATATGTTTAACAAAAAATGTAACATACTTAACAATATTTATTTCTCACAATTTCACGCAAAAAATAGTAATATTAAAAAAAAATAGTAATATTGAATATTAATATTTAGGAAAATAATAGTAGTAACAAGTTCAACGAAAATAGTAACATGTTCAAAATAATAGTAACATGAATAGTAATAAATTCAACAAAAACAGTAACATAATAAAAAAAATAATAACATGAAACATTCAATTTAACAAATTAATCCCCAAGAAAAATATCACAAATTACAAAAAACAAAAAATTAACAAGGACCAGAGATTCTCATCCGTTACCCACAAAAATGACATAAGTCATAGAAAATTAAAAGATGAACATTGATGAAACAACACCACTAGCTGGCCGGAAAGAGAGAGAGCTTTGAATTTGAATTATAAATTTATAATGGAGATTTTATTGACATATTTTAATTGAAATTGAATTAAAGGATAATTATATCCAAAATAGAAAATTAATTTAACATTCTTTCAAAGAATGATATTTTTGAGATAAAAAAAAAATGAACTTAAGTCATTATATATAATTTTAAATAAAGACTTATCCTCTTATAAGTTTCTTTGCTTGATTTATCTTCAAACAAGTACAATTAGGGAGCGTTACTTCTAATTTTCATTTTTTTACGGAAAACATTTATTTAGGTCTAGGAGACTAGTATCCTCCGCAAAACACGGCTAGTACAACGTTATGTCCAAGGAACAATGGTTCCAAATATGCCGCTAAAGTAATAAGTTCACAACCACCCTTTTGTCTTTGTCTCCTTGGCAGTATTTAGCTCCAATTCAGGCACTCTATATATGTCATCCCTCCCACCACTCTCGCGATGGAAAATTGTCATATTTAGGAGAGAGAAAAAAGGGGTGGTGGTGATCATCATCAAAGGTACATGGCCACAGGAGCAGCTGGGGATGGACTACTACTCCGGGGAGTTTTCGAAGGATGCATCTCCGGCCACGACACAGGAATCCAAAGGCGACCCTACCACCGGAATTGTGGCTGCGCGTTGCATAAATCGCGCGGTCATTGCTCCCATGTGTCGCCAAATAGGAATGTGTCTTACCCTATAAGACGGGCGTGGAGCGAGAGTTGCCTAGCATTGATGGCCTCGGGGAATTCCTCGCCTTGTTCTTCACCGGCCGTTGCTCCGCCGGAGTCCGGGAGGACACGGTTGGTTGTGTGCAATGAAGAAGAAGAAGAAGAGATTGTTTCAAACAAGGTTTGATTTCACTTCTTGTTTTGTTTTTTTATGGGAACAAGAAAGAAATGTGGGTGGGGCTGTAAAAGTAATTTCGTGAACAAGTTGATAAAATGATAGGGTTTATTTGATGAAAAATGCAATTTAGACTTAAAAATTTGACATAATTTGTTGACCTAATGACGTTATTTTGTTAGAATTATTGGATAAACACAAAATTCCAATGTTTGATACAACCCACAGTAATAAATTAAGTCAACAAATTAAGTCCAATAGCATTACTCTTATTTGATTGATGTGTTTTTTTTTATACATGGGAAGAGGACGACAAAGTCATCCAAAAAAAATAAAGGACTTTCAGAAATGTTGTGTGTATTGTAAAATGGTGTTTATTCTTAATGGATTCAGATCTTTGTATTTTTGTGTATTTTACTTTTTTTTCTGGTCCAACCAAAATGAAAAAATAGAAAGTAACCAAATTCGATCGGTAAAATCATGTTCTCCCCGACAAATACGATTAGATATGTAAGTACTCGTTCTTCTAGTGTCTTTATTATTTCTCATTTCCTCAACTTTTGTATCATCAATTTAGTTTTTGGGTTTTCTTGTGATTTTTTTTTTCAAAATTAGTGTAGTATTACAATTTTACCTTTTTTTGGATCAACTCCGGAAATCTTATTATATTTTCATTAGGTAATTTATATTGGTTACTGCGTTCATCTCGGTCTCGGACTCTGTCTCTGTCTCCAACTTCCGTAGGAAAGTCAGACACAAAAAAACTTCTCATTATTGAAGTGATTTTGGAATCAAGATTTAAAACTAAAGTATTAAAGCCATTAATTAATGTTCCAGTTGTTCTGCACGAACATGGCCGACCGGCACAGTTTGTCGGTCAGAGAATCACGTTGCCGGCGACTTTGCCCACCGTCCCGATTCTTATTTTAAGTAGTTCAAAACACTAATTTTTCTTTTAAAAGTATTTATGAAAAATTGTAAGTTTTAGAAGAATTTTTAAAAAGTTACTTTAAACACACTCTTAAGAGTCTATTTTTCTTATTAAATTTGGGGTATTGATATTAGCCGTCAGATTAATTTTAAAATAAAATTTAAAAAGATTTCAACCGCTAAAAATTAAAGTCATTTTATTTATCTTTTGATATTTAAATTGTACTGTATTTTATTATATAAGTACATTTATCATATAGTAAAATAATATATATATATATATATATAAATTTGGAGAGAGAAAATTTGAGAAATCTTTTCTTCACATTTTTTAATTTTTTATTTAAGAAAAATGTTATTTGAACCTAATTTGGGGACCTAATGTAGGAATCTAATTCAATACTATCATTGGATTGGTTGTGGATTCCATTTAACATTGAAATTCACAACTAATCCAATAATTGCATGAAAATCACATCATTAGATCTCCAAATAAGATTCCTATAGCATTACTCTTTTTTTAATTACCATACTAATGCTTATTTCAATCATACTCTACTATGTGTTTTTTGTAATAATTTTNTGTGGATTTCATTTAACATTGAAATTCACAACTAATCCAATGATTGCATGAAAATCACATCATTAGGTCTCCAAATAAGATTCCTATAACATTGCTCTTTTTTTAATTACCATACTAATGCTTATTTCAATCATACTCTACTATGTGTTTTTTGTAATAATTTTTTCATTAAAAAATTTAGTATTTTTTATTTATCTATCTTCTTAAGCAAAATTTTAAAAAATGATAAAAAAATAACCTTGCAGTACAAAATATATTAATGTATAATATATGTATAGTTGTATCCTTCTGCATAGTCGATCATTTCTGAAACTAAGCTTAGCCCAATCATTCTCCACATCAATCTTCATTGCATAATATCCACACTCTATCAGTTATAACTTTAACAATTTCATAAATTTAAAAATATTATTAACAAGAAATTGAAAATTTATCCGAAAATTAGGTTTTTCTCACCAAAAATTAGTGGATTAAGCCAACAAAACCATAAAACTATACATCAATGACCGTTGTAGTAAGCCAACTTATAGGCTTTGTAGAAGTGAAATGAAAAAAAATTCATTTCATTTGAGTTTCATTTAGCTTATGAGCATTTTGGTCTATTTACAAAGAAAAAGGCAACTTTGCCATTTTGAAAGAATATCAAGTTAAATCTTTAATTTTTTTACTTGTCAAAGATGATTGTTAGTGGAAGGGGCTATACGTAATTCTATAGTATAATCTAGAATGTGGTGCAGTAAAATTTCAAAAGATTTTGGAAATTTCATTGAATATATGCATAACTACAAGCTAATGTGGATGAAGTTTACCCATTGAAAATTGTGAATGCTTTGGCTGTGTTCTTGCTATTTTTAAGATTCCCTTTTTTTCATATTACTCTTAGTGGATATTCTGAGGATATTATTATGGCACTTGATAATAATAAAATCCATGTATAACTTTTGCAATATTGTTACTCATACTTAATTTATCGACATAATTTATTGATACAATCTAAAGTTAATATTATCACTTTAAATTATGGTAATATGCATGTATAAGGATTGAGCAAATATTCAAAGTGATACCACCTAGGGTAGTTATTATTTTACATGGATGAATAATTACACAATTTGTGGGTTTTCTTTGACCATATGTTGTCTTATTATTAACCGGTGAGATTACGTAATAATTTCACCATTGCATTGCGTTGAATATGTTCTCCAACAATAAACAATCATATAGCAACTCTAGGCTAGTTTCAAATTACTATTACTCTCTCCGTTTTTAAATATCTGTCATTTAAGATTTATGCACAGGGATTAAAGAAGCTATTAAATAGCTATAATATGAGTAAAAAATAATTACACAAGACTAAAATACCCAGAAAGGAATATGAAAGACACTTAACCTCCACCTAATTTAATGCATTAAAAAGTTAAGGGTAAATTTGAAAAAAAAATATTAATTATGCTTTGGTTTCATTAAATGACAGATATTATGAAACAAAAAAAATTGTGTAAAACGACTGATATTTAGGAACGAAGGGAATATTTTTTTGGATTTAACAATCAAAAGTATTCGAATCAATGTACGCAAACCTCAACTTAAATGAGGCAGCAAACTGCAGATTTGCTGATCACCAACTTCCACAAGGGCCTATATATGGTGTGAATAGCCGCTTAAAGTTAATATAGTGGCATTTAATTTTAAGCAAGCGTGTCAGTCAGTATGTCCGGTTTGTCCCCACTAGTTAATTAGTTTATGACCATCGACCAAACTTAATTGATGAACATGGTTTATGCGCCGCTAATGTAGCAACTTGTCAAGTATTTGACAAACTCGCACCATTCATTTTTTCCATTAACTTCATTCTTGTGGCTTTTTGAGAAGCAACAAAAATTGTTAAAATTTTATAAAAGTCTTAGGAGTCGGGATGCATGCTAGTTTCATACAATTAGGTGGTGTGATACAAAATCTAGCTCTTGGCTTATGTTGAGATATTAAAATAGTCAAAGCAACTTGGATGATCGATGCACCGGTAAGTCGACCGATCGACCGGTGATGAAACAGAAGGAACCTGGCGATACACCGGTTGTCCAATTTCGTGCAAGTACATTCTATTCGGCTGGGTTGGGATATTATTTTTTCTAACCTGTTTTTGGACAATTTGAAGCATTGTTCCATGAATGTTTTGGTCTGGGCTAAGCGCTATAAACTTACTGGGATTACATTGGGCTTTTATCTATACTACACATTTTTTAATTCAACTCCCATCGAATCTAAATGTATTAATTCAAGTTGCATTCGGATTGAGGACAAGAACTTGATGCCCAAATCTGATTATTGCCCAAATGTAAATCGAGTTAAGATTTTTTAGTCTACATTTGAACCATTTATTACAAGTCTTTATCAAAATCCTTCAAGGCTCTCATTATATTTGAGTTGACCCACCTAATTTGTGAACCTAACTTACTACAACTACCCTCCCATCAGGCTCAAGATATGCATTCATTACAAGTGGTTTCAGAAACTAATTTCCAAAAAAAGGAGGAATCTCTATTTATTTAAAACTAGATTATTAAAAAAAAATCAAGATTTAAAACTAGATCATTAAAACCATTAAGGCTACCAATTGTTCGGCAAGAACATGGGGCACCGTTTCTGGGTCAGAGGGCCACGTTGCTGGTAACTTTTCTTGCCATCGAACAGCCCCATTTATATAATATGTTTTTTTATACTAGATCAAAGAACTGATCCATTTCATTTGATCAGCACAAAATAGGTTTAAGTTTAGGTTTAGATTTGGGTTTAGGGTATGAGTTGATGGGCGTGAGGAATAGGTTTAAGTTTAGGTTTAGATTTGGGTTTAGGGTATGAGTTGATGGGCGTGAGGAATGAGATTCTTCGTTTGATATATTTTGAACAAATAGTTTAAAATAAAAAATGTTATTTAGACCTTATTTGAGATCTTTTTTTTACTTATTTTTTTCTTTAAGAAAGAAAAAGAATCCATCAAATATGGAATGACTAAGCACTCAAGTCCTACACCAAGTCTTGATGCATAATATCTTCGGTCCTTTCCACAAGTCCTAATTGGATTCCCCATTGGCCCATCCAATTTAATTCAGTAGACAACACTTTTGAGACCAGAGACCTTTTATCACGACATTCACCTCTAGCGTATCCTGTTTCCACTATTGTATGAATAGCATTTCCTGCCAAGGTTTGAACAGTAAACGAGGTGTCAAAAATCTCTTATTCTCTTTTTCCTTTGAATTCAAAATCACATATCGGACTTAATCTGAAGACTTAATTCAATATAATCATTAGATTAATAGTGAGCTCTATCTAATATTAGAACTCACAACTAATTTAATGATTGCATTAAAGCTACATCATTAAGTCCTCATATTAGATCTCCAAATTAGATCCCTATAGTATTGCTCGTCTAAAATACCCCTAATTTGTTGTCCATATAGAGAGCACATGAGACATTTTGTCCAAAAACTTAACCGTGGTTGACATAAGGACTTAATTGCTAAAATTTTAGAGTTTAGGGGCATAATTGACACAAATTAGTTTAGGGACTTAACTGCTAAAATTTTTGAGNATTTTGTCCAAAAACTTAACCGTGGTTGATATAAGGACTTAATTGCTAAAATTTTAGAGTTTAGGGGCATAATTGACACAAATTAGTTTAGGGACTTAACTGCTAAAATTTTTGAGTTTAGAAACTCAGTTGACATGAAAATTAATTCAGTGATTTAATTGACACAAGAATTATAATTTAAGAGTCATTTGTATAATTTACTCAAAATTTTAAGTACTAGACTCCTAACAGTGAATGATTTTGCTTTGTTCTTCTGCCTTTTTTCATGCCAGTATGGTGACCGGAGATAACTCTTTCCACTTTTGCTTTGTTCTTGATTGTTTTTAGATGCAACTTTAACTATATCTTCCAAGAACTTTACCCACTTGAATATGATCAAAGCCTCTA